TGTCCTACACATAGAAAACCAACAAGAGCTCAGTAAAGACCAAGAAACAGCCCCCAAACAGAGAATCCAAGAATCATGGAAAGAACCCAGTTGGCACAACTCTCCAAAAATGTGGATAGCATGGCAGGAACTACCAAAAACCTCTCAGTCCTAAGTCTCAATATTAATGGACTTAACTCTCCAATTAAGTGACAGATTGTCTAGTCGGAACAAAAAGCAAGATCCTTCTATCTGCTGCCTTCAAGAGGTACATCTTGCCCATGAAAACAAACATATTCTGAAAGTGAAAAGCTGGAATAAAATCTATCAAGCAAACGGCCCCCCAAAACAGGCAGGAGTTGCAATATTAATATCAGAAAAACTTCAAATTAAAATTAGCAAGAAGAGATAAAGAAGGTCAGTACATACTAATTAAGGGATCTCTCTGTTAGGAGAATATTAAAATTCTAAATATTCACTAAATAATGGAGCACCCAAATTTATCCAAGAAATACTACTTTCCCTAAAATCACACATAGATCCAAAAACATTAATTGTTGGGGACTTTAATACACCATTATCCCCGCTGGATAGATCAACCTGGCAAAAACTCAAGAGAGAAACCTTGGAGCTAAACAACTGCATAGACCAACTAGACTTAACAGACATCTACAGAATATTTCACCCAGCAGCATCAGAATACACATTCTTTCTCAATAGCACATGGATCATTCTCCAAAACAAACCACATTTTAGCTCATAAAGCAAATTTGTTCAAATTCAGAAACATTGAAATTATGCCCTGCATTCTGTCAGACCAAAAGGGAATAAAATTAGAACTCAACACCAAAAGCCACCAAAGAAAATCCTGTAACACATAGAGGCTGAAAAACACATTGTTGAATCCACCAGTGGGTCATGGAAGAGATTAGAAAGGAAATTCAAATGTTCATGATATTTAACAAAACTGAACACACGAATTACAAGCTCTTCTGGGACACAGCAAAGGCAGTACTCAGAGGCAAGTTTATAACTTTGAGTTCTTACTTCCACAAATTGGAGAGATCTGAAACCAACAATTTAATGAGGCAACTGAAGCTCCTTGAAAAGGAGCAACTAGCTAAATCCAATCCAATAGATGGACACAAGTAATTAAAATTAAATCAGAATTAAATAGAGTCCAAAAAACCATAGAAAGAATCAACAAAACAGAGTTAGTTCTTCAAAAAATAACAAAATTGACAGACCCCTACCAAATCTTATCAGAAAAAGAAGGTAACACACCCAAATAAACAAAATCAGAGTTGAGAATGGAAACATCATTAGATTCAGAACATTATAAGGGAATACATCCCAAACCTTTATGTTACTAAGTTTGAGAATCTGGAAGAAACGGATGAATTTCTAGCAAATATTGGCACGTTCAAATTAAACCAAGATGATTTAAACCAACTTAACAGACCCATACCAAGAATCAATATAGAAACTGCAATAAGAGACCTCCCACCCAAGAAGAGCTCAGGACCAGATGCATTTACAGCTGAATTCTACAGGGCTTTCAAAGCAGAACTCACATCAATACTCCTCCAACTTTTCAATGAAATTGAAAGTGAAAGTTCACTACCAAACTCTTTCTATGAAGCCATCATAACCCTCATCCAAAAACTAGGCAGGGACTCATCAAAGAAAGGCAACTAGAGACCCATTTCTTTGATGAACATCGATGCAAAATTCTCAACAAAATTTTGGCCAATCGACTTCAACAATTCATACAAAAAAATCATACACTATGATCAAACAGGATTTATTTCAGGGATGCAAAGCTGTTTCAATATATGCAAATCAATTAATATAATTCATCACATCAAGAGCAAGGGTGAGAACCACATGATTATCTCAATAGATGCAGAAAAAGCATTTGACAAGATCCAACACCCTTTTAAGATGAAAGCTCTGGAAAAACTAGGAATCCATGGAACATTCCTCAATATAAAAAAGGCTGTGTGTGACAAACCTACAGCCAGCATTATACTTAATGGCAAAAAGCTAAATCCATTTCCTCTCAATTTAGGAACAAAACATGGATTTCTGCTCTCTCCACTCCTCTTGAATTTAGTATTAGAATGCCTAACTAGAGCAATAAGACAAGATGCAAACATAAAGGGGATCCAAAAGGGGAAAGAAGAAGTAAAACTCACCCTCTTTGCAGATGTCATGATCTTGTATTTAAAGAACCCCATGGACTCCAGTCCCAAGTTATTCGAGCTACTTCAAAACTTTGGCAAAGTAACAGGGTATAAAATTAACCCTCCAAAAACCAATGGCTTTTCTGTATGCCAATAACCAGAAGATTGCAACTGAAATCAGGGAAGCAATTCCTTTTGTAATAGCCCCACAAAAAAAAAATACATAGGAATTAACTAAAGAAGTAATACTTCCTAGGATTAATTTCATTTTGACTACTTTAATCTTAATGCTTCTAAAATAATTGATAAAACTCAGAACCAAGTGGAAAAAGAAGTCATAAAATATACTGTTAAGAATTACTGCAGTCACTGAGGGCAATATGCAGTGTTACATCTATCCATCTCTCTATCAAGAGTGTTAATGTGTTGCCTATCTTCTACCTTAGGTCTGAAACAAGGGTATAATTCCTTTAGAAGCATTTTCCAGTTCAAGAGAAACCTGCACATGATTTTCATCATGAAATACTAATTTTAATAAAGTCAGTTCTTGGGGAAGAATAGTTCTAGAATGGTTCTTCTAGAGGATCTGATTAGACTTTTCAGTTTCTAAAACAACATAGTTTTTATAGTAGATTTACTACTGCAGTAGTAGTAGATTTGTAAAATAAGCTTTACTCTCAGAAGGTTATCTTTAACATGCTCACTATGCAACAAGTAATTTGAGACAGACAGTCATCCTAAACTCACTGGTAGCTCTTGAGCACTGGAGCTGGAATTTAAATCCAGGCAATCTGACTCCTAGGCTCCCTCTTAAGTCAAGCTTTCTAATAGGAACTCCTGCCCTGTTTCCCTTGCATGAGTGCTATTAAGGATTAATAGAGAATATGCACAGGAAGGAAGCACTCAGGGTTAACCCTGGAAACAGAACAGAGCCAGAAAAACTCATGGCTTATTTAAGAAAGTAAATGGAGGCTAGATGTACAGCTGTGGAAGAGCATCTTTAGTATACACAAGGCATTGAGTTCCATATTTTGCACCAAAAATCACTAAGAATAAGTAAAATTTTTGTCCAAGTAAATGGAACAAGACTAGGTTATCATATCAAGCTAAGAAGTGCAACTTAACCCAAAAGACTGGGAGTTGGAAACAGGGTGGGGGTGCACATTTATGGAAAGCTGACAACGGACCAAACTCTCTGCTGGGTGTTCTCACAGAAGATAGAGATTTTTCTTTAAAAAAAAAAAAAATGTCATGCAATCCCACTTGTCCAACCTTTCTTCGATTTGTTGTGTTTCTGGGTCTCTTTTAAGAAAATTTCGGCAGGGCGCTGGTGGCTCACGCCTGTAATCCTAGCTACTCAGGAGGCTGAGATCTGAGGATCGCAGTTCAAAGCCAGCCCAGGCAGGAGAGACCGTGAAACTCCTATCTCCATAAACCACCAGAAAACCGGAGGTGGCGCTGTAGCTCAAGTGGTAGAGCGCTTGCCTTGAGCTGAAGAGCTGAGGGACTGCGCCCAGCCCAGAGTTCAAGCCCCATGGCCGGCAAAAAA